TCTACTCCCCACCCCCCCCTGCTCTGTATTGCGATGTGGCAGAGGGAGGCGTGGGATACCTACGTCACCGTTGCCCAGGGAGACGGTTGTAACAATTGCCCTGCGGGGAGCTAGCCGCTGGGGCTGGCTCCCGCAGGGCTACGGGACCCAGGTGGTGTCGGAGGCAGGAGGGCCGGGACATGCGGGAGCGGTGCGGGACACACAGGTGAGAGGGGTTCTGGGTCCAGACAGGCCACCCTCTGCCCGCTGCAGGGCTGGGATCAGAGGCGCCAATGCACGTGCCCCCCACCCCTCGCGAGCCCCACGGTCCTGGGTGCACGTGGCGGTCCGTGCACCTGCAGCGGCCCCCAAAGGCTGATTTTTGCCTTGGGTCCAGGCCACCGTCCTGTTCTCCGCCAGCCCCTCCAAGCTTCCGCGCCGACCCGCCTCTGTCCTCATAGCGACCCATGCAACGGGGCCCCGGGGGCCTGCGATTGAAACTAACTAGCAGCCAGGTGACACTGCCCTCCTGCCTCGACAGCTGTAGGAAATAATGTAGAACCTCCTGCATGGAGAAGGGAATCTTCATTTTAAATACCCTTTGAATATGGCAAAGTGTGATGGGGGTAAGAAAAAGGGGTAGGGGTTTCACAACGTGCAAAGTTGCAATGACAAGAGATAAGCGGTAGCCTTACATCCTCTCATTGAAGTGATCGGGAGTTTATCTGAGCTGCACCGAACTGGGCAGCTGGTGAAACAGTTTTTACTGGAGGCTCCAAAATATTTTACAAAGTAAGGCATTGGCAGGCAGGTATAATTAGGTGCTGGAGAATATGTTCCTGTCAACAGGAGCTCCTATTAAATCTCCTTCCCTGGCCAATTAGATTGAACCTTAATGTCTTACACTTAACAGGAAAGTTTGAGAAACTTTGGAGATACCTTACCTTTAAAACCACCCCCTGTATCTCTCCTGTTAGGATTTATTTTTATGAGCAAGTTTTCATTAAGGTGGAATCTCAAGCCACATGGAAGACACTAGGGGCCCTTAAAGTACCTTTCAGGCTACATCTAGACTGGCATGATTTTCCAGAAATGCTTTTAATGGAAAAGTTTTCCATTAAAAGCATTTTCAGAAAAGAGCATCTAGATTGGCACAGTACATTCATTTTTACTGCAAAAAAGTAAAGATATTTTGTCACAATCTATTAGGACTGGGGGAAAAAACATTTTCTCCGTTGCAGACTTTTACCTTGTGGCTTTCAAAACCAAATTGCTACTTAATTTATTAAACCTGGAGACAGTGTAAAAAGCTTATTTGTGATCAATTTTGATCTTGGTAGAGGGAGACACCTAAGCTCAACCCTGAGTTTCCCATAGTCTGGGATGGTTGACAATGTGCCAACATAGGATTTTATCTTCCTCCAATGTGAAGGCATCTGAAGACCAACTATAGATTTTATATGGGGATTTGTGGGGTCTCAGGAATACATGTGGCATATTTGGGAGTAGGAGGGTTTGGCAGCTGGCTAGGAGTGATCATACACATCGGGGCTCGTTACTATAGAGCATCAGAAGTATAGAGATGGGGAATTTTAGAAACTGAGAGCTGGCCCATATTCTGTCTATCAGAAGTATAGAGATGGAAAATCCTCACAATTTGTTGATGGATAAGGCACCGCAAAAGTAGCCACCCAGCTGACAAATTCAGCCTTGGAATTTGGAACCATGAAGTTTTCTTTTTCATTCCAGGGCACTGTCTTGCTATCCCTGTATCCACTCCAACTATTGACACCACTCTCAGCTGAGTAGGATGTGCACTTATGGGCATTATAACAATCCCATACCTGACACCAGAGTGAGAGCACCAGATTTAACCAAGGACATGGTAGGGTGCCCACAGTGCCCCTTCAGAATCTAGATTGCTGGGGCTAGGACCAATAGTAATGAGTTAAAAAAAAACCAAAAAACTGGAGGAAAATAAAAGGGGCAAGAACAGTAGGAGCTTTTCTGGGGTAGGGGCAAGGTAAGTTAAAGTGAACAGGAGGAGGTGGGGGGAGTGTAGAAACTGGTAACACTAAGCAGTGCTCATGCTGCTTCTACATTCATACACGATCAATACTGGAAATCTGCATGCCGTGCCAGAGCTACATCTTCCTGTGAAAGAGCCGGAGGTTAACTTCAAGTCCAGGTCTCCCTTGTTCCATTGCACTTTACGGCACACTGCCTCTCAAGCGGACTGTCATTTAATGTTAGAAGACACTTTTCAAGCCACTTGCGCAATAGTTTTACACTGGGTAAGAATAGCCATTTCTCCCTTTGGTCCTCTCCCAGCATTGTGTTTGATGCATTGCTACATTATGTTTACAATAGATCCACTAGGGTTTATGGCATCTGATTGTCAGTGGTCCCCTGTGGGTTCTCTACCTCTTTTTGTAGCATCATTACTACCTTACTGACTTACTGTTTGGGGCTCTGGGACTGGAAAACCTTAACACAATATATTTTCCCATCTTCTTGACATTTTCCTTTTTGGGGGGCAATTCAACTTGTCTGGTTACAGCTGTAGGTGAAAATAAAGTCTCTCATATAAAATTGTATCACTTCAAAAAAAAAACTAACATCCTCCCTCTCCTTTTTCAAAATACAGGAGGGGGGAAAATGAATGAGGTAAAAGAAAGTCTGAGAAGCATAGAACAGACCTACAAGATCTTCCAGCAGCAGCAGTTTACATTTATTGCAGCGCTGGACCACACCCGAGAGAATGCACATGACAAGATCAGGCCTGTAGCAAGTATTGGACAGGTACAAAGAAATCAGCACAAAGATTTCTGCCAGCAGCAACGGGGACACCATAATGCTGTCATGCACTTGTGTATATTTCAATGGTGAATAACTATTTACTAGAGGAAGCTATATACAAACCCTTCTAGAAAGATCTGTTTATTAACTCAATATTATAAGCTACAATTGACCATGAAATTGTAGGCAAAATTACCTACATTCTGATTTATCCATCTATATAAATGCTATACAGCTCAGTACCTCTTTAGACATTTTAGCCTAACAACCCCATTTCTCCACCTCACTCCTAATTAGAAATATACATCATCTAGCCAAAAGGCATACAAGAGACACAAACCCACCCTCCTCTGCCACATGTGGAATGTGTAAACCTTAGCTTCTTGTAGTAAGCAGCTTACTTCTCTCCCCCGCAGGTATTGGAGCTACTGTAGTGTTTATTAAAAGTAATGGCAATGTTCCAGAGGTGGGAAGATGGAATGAGCACTGAATGTCCCAGTAGAGTAGGGGGTTTGGGGTTGGTATGTGAATTGTCTTGAAACTTTAAATGTGAAGAACTCAGAAGCCTGGAA